TGCCACAAGGCCATCACTCATTTTTGGCCCAGCACGCACACGAACTGTGGCAAGTTTTATGCGCTCGCCCGCTCTCGTGTGGCACGTGGCATAAAGTAATTGAATTCTCCTGGAAGCTGTCAAAGTTCAATTGCATTTTAATGAAATTTTTCAGTCGCCATAGCTCAGCTAAGCTCAAATGGGAAACGGTTGCTCCCCAGAGCTCAAAAGAAATAAATAAACACAGATGTCAACTGGTGAATCGACGAGCAAACAAATGCATTTTCAACTAAACACAAGTTTATGCGCTGGCGGTTGTTGTGTTTGTTGGTCTTTGTTAGTTGGCTTTCCCGATTGCTGTGGCCATGGGCTAAAAAATTCAGCACTGCAGCTGACAACAGACAATGGCTTTCAGGAAAAGTCAACTTTGGCTCAGATAAAGGATTTTAATGGCTAAAATAAAAATGTGTGCTTTGAGCCAAGCGAATGTGTGCTTTGTATTTTTCGTTGCAGTCAATGTAGGTCAGAAAATCAGCAGAGACCTGAAAAGCTAAAGTTACTGTACCACAATCAAGCCAAATTATCATGCTTGCATAGAACATGGCTTGTCTCTAATGTTAATTAGTGTGCACAATGGAGATAAGGTTTTCTTTTCGATAACAGAGCCAAACCTTTCATCTGAAACACTACATAAGCGCTAGAGCTGTCTATTTAGCAGCGATCAAATTTAATGGATTGGTATTATCGAAAGGACCTGTTAAAAATATATTATCGCCTTAACATAAGGAAGTTTTGTAAGATTTATTTCTGACTGACCAAGTGGCGACCTCCTCTCAACAACATACTTTTGTATAATTAATTAATTATGTCCCTTATAAGAGACTAAGCTGAGCAGCTGTCATCTGCACCGCAAGCCACCAAGGCCCCCAATTTATTGAAAGTAACGTTTAAAACGAACTTAAGAAACTATTGGCAATATGTAAATAATACAAAATTTGAGTATTTTAGTATTTTACCACACTTATTAAATCATTTCTATAAATGGGTCTTGTGTCTGTTAGATTCCTTGTATACGATTGCAACTTGAGAATTATAGACAAGCTAACAAGTCGATGCCATGCGCATAAGCCAGGCGGATTGGTAAAGCATATGTGACAGGACAAGGTATGCGAATTCATCTAGCCAATAGTCATGTTTGTGGGCTTACCAAAACAAAAGACTGTCTGGCGCACCCCAAAGCCCACCGCACCTGTCACTGTCTGAGTGCCAGCGAATTGTTATGTTGCATTGTCTTTACTCGGTTTTGCCGTTGCAAATTGCGCCAAATGGTTACCAAGGCAGCTGCCCATTTCTGCCGGCTGTACAAATACGTAACACACAGAGGCAGGCAGTGCAATTAAAATTACGAAATACACATATTCAAACAGAGACGGGGCTTTTGTTTAGTACATTAAAAGTAAACTTCACATTATTAACTACGTATACGAGGCATCGTAAGCTAGACTATCAAATTTCCTGCTTTCCATGAAACAACATGTGCATCTGTTTTGAGCTAGTACTAAGTAAACATACATATAAAGGTCTATTGTATTTATAACTTTAATAAACAAACTTACAATTGGAACTATTCTGAAGCTGATACCAGCTCGTTGAAAGACATCAAAATGGATATAGGTGAAGGTGTCGTCCGCGCCGAAAGTGTTACCAGAGACGCGGGCAAACGGTGATACACATGATTGACGCCTCATTTGGAGCAATTTGACGAAGGAACCCGAAAAGCCCCCGTTGTCGATGTCATCATGTGATGACCCGCCCAAGACTTAATCGTCCCTACGAAATGATTTGGGCTTATTAACTTAATCGACACCTGGTCCGAGGTGGTTCCTAGCAAAGACTCAATCGCTATAAGTAGCTTAAACTTGAATTTTGGACTTATTCTTGAAACCATTGTCAAGTATATAACTCGTATTATAAATAAGTCGAATTTATTTAAGTCTGGTCTTTAAATGAATTCAGCCTGCACACGGCTTGATTCAGATATAAATGCTCTATTCCTTGATACGGGATAAGATGGCACAGAGCACAGGGCACAAAATACAAAAATATTTTGTACACACACACACAACATGTCGTATACTCAACCTCGCATCCGGTTGCGTATTTGCAAGCTTGAGTGTATCAGTATTCCCAGTTATTAGCATATTCTCGACATGCTCAGCTACTTAATGATGCAGAAATGTAAAAAATAAAGACACGCAAGCTGCCAAATTCTTGCATCCCTTTCAGTTTCAAGCCATTGATTATGCGTATGTCGCAAATGTGGCTCAGAGAAGAGCTGATTGCTGGCTTTGCATTTTCGTATCGCCTTGGCTTTATCTGGTTCGCTTGACGAATGGAAGTGTGCATACTGATCCCAATTTCACAAATTTATGTTAAATACGTGCACTGAAATATAAAGTAAAGTCAAATAGTAAGCAAACATGTACCTGGCCTTTTCCGGTTCGCAAATTGGATGTGCGTGTGATTTTTTCTCTGCACCTCCCACAAATCCACAGAGCAGAAGACAGATAAAACACGTAACCTTTCTGGGGTGCTCTAATACAATTAGCTAATCATATATGTGGTTGACGAAAACCATTAATTATTTTATTTATTTAATTTAGCTGTTTGCGGCAAGTAAAGCTTTTGATTTCGTGTATGACTTTAGATTCTCAAATATTTGAAAACCTTTGACTTAGACTTAGGCCACATTATTTGTTTAGCACTATTGATGTGTTTTCTTGCGTGCCTTTAAAAATGATAACGAAGCTTGATTCTAAGCCATCTCAAATTAGATATTGCCGTGTGTTCTGATTTTGTCTTGTTATTCTTGTGGACGTATGCCTTTTGAGAGCGTTTGTCGTCAACTGTGCTAATTTACTTGGCAATTTTTAAAAACTTAATTTACACCCATCAAAGTATCCCTATATTTATGAAGACTCTCTTCTGTTTTAAGCGGCCTACCACCAGATCTATCAATTACCATAGGATCTAAAATTAATGTTATGCTTTGTTCTTTTTAAAGCTGACATTCTATTTTTATATCGCCAGCAGTGAAAAGCAGTTTTGAGTCTGGGAAATGTAACGCCGCCTCCCGACAAGTAAAAACGCGAAATAATTTATCCAGACTCGTTTATATGAAAGTATGCTTACCTGAAATGGTGGGCCAATAGCCACCAGGAAAAGTGAACAAGTAAGAAGCATCGGGTCAACTGTGTGAGTCTGGGCATGCATTCGCTCTGATGGAAAGTCAAAAGTTGCCCGGCAGTGGGTCATAAAACGCATGAATGCACAGTAAATACGTGTTTGAATGAATGCGTCGAGAACTGGAGCACTAGGCCAAAAGTGAATGCGTGAACAGTTGACTGGTTAAATAACTATACAAAAGAATCAACGGGCTAGGATTCCGACTGGTTTGCATTTAAAGGGTGGCAGCAATGAGATGCCCTTGGTCCATCAATATTACAATAGGGTACGTGAGGTATTGTTATTGTTATATGATTAGATGCTACAATTTATCAACTACAGTTGATTTGCTTGCCAAAACTAATGAGGCGATTATCATGGAAATCGTCAGATTCCAGTAGGGAGCCACAATTGTCAACAATATTTTGATATGCTCCCAGCGATAGCACTGTTATGCATTACTAAACCAGCGAAACGGAGCTCCATGGTCATAAACCGCCGAAATTTCCCTCGACATTCTGTCGAAAATTGGCAAACCGCTTAGAGGAAAAAAGACAATAAATAACTCATATGCAGCATTTGCCACAAGCACTTGAGCAAAATGCGCAAGGCTAATCAAACCAAGTGGAGCATATAACATTCATAAATATAAGCCAAGTTTCTGGGAAAAAGTCATCACAATTTCCACTTCCCAGTTGGCACACCGCTGACACTTTCATTTGGCATATATATTTTTTTTTTTTTGGCCAAATGTCAAAAGGAGTCACATTTAGATTCAACTTCGCCAAAGCTGACACAGCGGGACATGCATATTTCCACACATTGTCAGTGTCAGAGTACAAAATCGGATTCAGCATTGGACCTCGAATTGCAATGGGGGGGTTACAGGTTTCGAGCAAACCAAATATGTAGATTTTTGTTCAATTTCATTTTTTAATTTACACCAAAATGGTTTAAAATTTAAGCGAAAATTTTTTTTATTTTTTCTCTGTAGGTGGTCTAGGTGAAAATTCACTTAACACGCCAACGCGCAATTAATTTGTTACGCACATGTAGTGGCATGGAAGGTACGATAAATGAAACCCGTCAACGGTACTCAACAAAATGGTAAGCAATAAATTATCGACTCGCAAGCACAACAATAACACCACAAGCAACAAGCTGCTCACAAGTGCAAAATCTGCTGGGGTTATTTTAATATCAATCTGTGGTTAGTAGTAAATAGATCCTTATGATAAAAGAGAATTATGAAAAATGTATGTTGTTTTTCTTCGTGATATCAAAATAAACATTTGTTAAAGTGTTTCAAGTAATATATATATATACTCAAAAAGATTCGATTAAGAGTAGAAGCTTGTTCTACTCCATACATTCTATATATATCAGAGTAACTGATGCCTAAGCACCGCGCTTCTATTGTCAATCATTTAGTTTTTTTTTTTAATATCTTTACAAATCGTAATTTTTTTAATTTTTTCACAAGTTGCTTAAAAACTCCCAACTTGGGACTTTGTGGTCTTTGTCTTGCAAAGACTAAACAATATAAAATGAATTTTAAGCCAATATTTGCTCCGCCGGGTCAATTCAGTACATACCATGTAGACGACGATGTAGACAAATAAAAAAAAAACTTGTTATAAACGCGCAAACATAAGTTAAAAAGCTGTCGCCAGTCCTGGGGATCGCGACATCCATTAATATGCAAATTTGAAAGTATATCAGTTAGCGTTCGAGCTTCTTTTTGAGCTTGCGCCTCTCAGCTATATATACTTGAACAAAGTTGAGAACATAAATTATGCACAGTCAGGAACGCAGAGGAGTAAACTATTTCGCAATTGGCATTTAGATTCTATGGACAGCATCTGTGAAATCATTTCTGTTCTCTTAATGATGTGTTAAATCGTTTGATGTTTATATTTAAATTGTCGTTCTTTAAACTTCTGTAGTATAATATTGTTGTAATATCCAACCGCTGAAAAACCTTAATTCACTTTTATTGTTTAAATTTAGTTTAATTATAACTTACTAATATAAATACTTACATGTAAGCCATTAAAGCGAGGCTGCATTTAAGCACAGTCGATGATCGCGTGGATCACTCCAACCTCCATTTCTGTTAACTGCCTTTAGATTATTGATTGAAGCTTTCGATGTTGCATCTAGTGTAAGCGTTTTCGGATAGAACTGGCCAGCTCTTAATGCAAAACGAATCGCTCGCTTCGCAGTGGATAAAGCCAGCACAGAATCACAATTTAAGCTTTGATCACTGAGAAAAAGAAACTCGTTAGTCCATATTAGCCACGGCTAGGATTCAAAAGTGAAAATCTTACCACTTGCCAATGGGATAGACACGCGTTCCCTTTATTGCCATTACGTGAAGATTCCTTAACAGACACGTCTCGGATACATGCTGCAGTGACCGGTCCCAACTATAGTCATCATAAGTGCAAAAACTTTGGGCACAACTCCGTATGTCCAACCAGGTGGTTCGATTTAACGCAATAGCTATATTGTGTTTTTCACTTACCCAAGGAAAGCATTCAACCTTACACACAAAAATGAAAATTAACAAGAATAGCTTAACCCAAATATGGATCTAGAATGCTCCGAGCTCACCTTGGAAAATTTAAGTGTAATGATATGATTGCCAAGCCGCAGAATATTACATTGCGGGCACAACTTCTGCCTGTTCTGCTGCATTTTTGTCACTACGTACAAGAAGTCTTCGGCTACAAAATGATTTTCCTCCAAAAATAACACAAGACCTATAGCCAGAAGGGTGCAGTTCATGATTATCAACGCTTTAAGGAAGTACAGAGGATAAGAACGCACCAGCATGATATCTGGTAGCCTTAAGTTGATGGAAAACGCGGTTCGCCTTCCACCACCAGTGATGCTTCGCCTGTGTAAGCTTTGCCTGTCTATAATGTCCATTTATATCTGGATAAAGTGCATTATTGCAATTGTTGATGATAGCTCTAGAGATATGAAAATTGTAAGACACGTTTCTTAAAATTTATATTTTATACTCACATATTTTTTGTAATATTCCGCGGGCAGTCGTTGGGATCCCTGCCAGGAAACTTATGCGGATGCGTTTGTAAAGAGTGTGGATAGTACATCTGAATCACCTTGCAGAATTCAATCGCTTGCACAAAATCGTTAATATTGTCGTCGTAGAACTCGTGTGAAAATACAAGCAATGCTTTGGAAATATCCCTGGCGTGAGAAAGACTGTTTACCGAGTACCTTAAATAGCTAAATTGCTTGTGCACCTACGAAAGAATGATGATAATAGATGATTCCCAAATATTCTGTACAGAGCTACAGGACGACTCACTTGAATAACAATAACCACAGAATTATTGTCCAGGGGACCGAATTTATTTTCATTTAGGATCACCTGCTGCTCGTTAATTTCATAGATCTTGCGCTTGATTCTCGAGATTGTGTCATTCTGTTCAGTACTCAAATCTTTTAACACTTAGGGAAGGAACGCCAGCAGGTTTTCTACATTATTTTACTTTACTGATTAACGCTACTCACATGCCTCTTTTTCTTTCATTAGTGCTATAAAAGGTGCTTCTTGGGCCGAGATGTTGGTCCATGATTTTTTTAGCGTACCTCCAGGACTTTTAACTTAACATTGATTTATTATGATTAAAAGCGTTTATTTATGGTGAAAACAAAGAAATGCTACTTACAAACATTTAAGTTACAACACTGCAACATAATAAAGCACAGCACCAGGAAAGCAATTGTCCGAACATAAAACCGAAGTGGTCTCTTATTCATGATTTTCATGATGTTCAAGTATCCAGTATTTGTTTACAATTATTATTTGATCGGAATGATATTTATTTAGCAGCAACTAACTATTTTCAATGCCTACTAGGCTTCCTGTGTCAATTTACATCTTAACAACTTGGTACAGAATAGCGCCGAGGTAACCACTTTAACCACTAAAATAGAAAAGCACTTTGTTATTCTATATTTGGCATCTCGACTTGGCCTAAGAAGCCATATTAACTGCCCTTAGGTAAATATTAGATGTACATCAAAGCAACTTCCAAGTGGAAGTCCAGGCAATTCAGTGAAATTAGTTTGGTACCCTCGGGCACTTGCTGCTGATGGCCAGCAGAAAGTAATTCGGCAGGTGAACGAGAATCAAAGGCCCTTTTATGGACTGATACACTGTATCAGAATCTATTGACATAAGGAACAAATATAAATGTGCCAACAACTGGCATCCAATAAGTACACAAAAACGAACTGTTGTACTTTGTTTAAAGGTTGAGACTACAGAAACTTTATATGCTATTGTTGTTCTGTTGGATTGCTTGCAGACGGTCAGAATATGCTTAAGAAAGTGAATTGCAATAATATTATTAAATAAATACATTAATGTAAATATTTATGTATTTAGTTATGTCAAATCAAATCTAAAGAATCCACACTCGACATCGAAATTTTTGCAGCCATTTTTCAGCGTCAACGTCAATTTGTGAATTGCCGGGTACTCGCAGCACTTGGCGGATTTTCATCCCAAGATTGATGATGATGATAACTGATACCAGTTAAGCTTCTGCTGGTGTAAGTTGTGGCCTTTTTATGGCTGGCCATAATATAATAGAATATTTAAGCTTAGACAATTTGCATTTATTTCTGTTTTCAGCATTAATATTCCTGCTGGCGTTGGCAACAAATTATGTGATTAAATGCATTTTTCAGTTAATCGTTTTTACATATTTAATGTGAACTCTTTAAATTTTTTATTAATTTAAGGGAAAGTTGCAATACTTTAACATTATTCAATTATTACTATTTTTATTTAACTCATTTAAGTATAATATAAATTAAATATTACCTCTAACAAAGTTAAGAGTGCTAGCAGTTGAATTTAAAAACCTCATATTTGTAAATAGATTATGAAATAAGAGGAAGCACTAAATTAATAAAAATGTTTTTACACAGTATGTTATGTTTATAAATAGTAAATGAATGGTAGTTTTATGGTATACATATTAATTATTAAAGTAAAGGCGTACCGAATCGCTTAGCCTTATCGAATTGAAAGAAATATTTTAATTTTGAGACCTTACTACGAACTCGACTATTGGGTAAAACAAAATAATTAGTAATATTTACTTTAATGTAGATAGATATTTGCCGCATTGGATCCTCATTGATCGCTGGCTATCAGTTGAACCATGATGCCCAAGCACATTAGATTTCCTATCCGCACAATTTTTCTCCTGATCATATTCTTTATCATCCTGACGTACTGCAGCTTTCTCTTCCGTAAGTTGGTATTTTAATCTTCAGAACTATTAAAAATTATCAAATTCAAAGTCAAAAGTTCTAACGTGATGCCCAGCAAGCCCCAACCATTCATCCTACGGAATCTTGATTATGGATATCTGGATAATTCAAGCGAGACAAGTGAAAGTAAGTTTTATTTATGATTTAATTTGAATAATCATATCACACTGTTAACATAATAATTTATTAAAAGGGTTGCATCCCAAGAAAATATTAAAAATTATGCAGCGGATCCACACAGCAAATAAACAGCAGTTGATTCTTAACGCAAATAAATATGGTCCTCTGGAAAATGACTCGGTAGTTATTGTTATTCAAGTAAGTTGTCCTTAATTCCTGTGGAAAGTATACAAGAATATTCTTTCAAAGGTGCACAAGCGAATTAACTACCTAAAGTACTTAGTAAACAGTCTTTCCCATGCCAAGGATATTTCCAAAGTATTGCTTGTATTTTCACACGATGTCTACGACAAAGAGATCAACGATTATGTGCAAGCGATTGACTTTTGCATGGTGATTCAGATATTCTATCCTCATTCTTTGCAAACTCATCCACATACATTTCCCGGCAAGGATCCCAACGACTGCCCACGAAACATTACAAAAGATGAGTGAGTAAATACAAAATACAAATCTTATAAAACGTAGCTCTATTACAATTACCTTTATCTTAGAGCTCTCATCAAAAAGTGCAATAATGCTTTATATTCAGATCATTATGGTCATTATAGAGAGGCAAACTTTACACAGGCAAAGCACCACTGGTGGTGGAAGGCAAATCACGTCTTTCATGATCTTACAGCTACCAGATACCATACTGGTCTATTCATAGCACCTTCTTATATTTTTGATAGTTATGATAAACACTTTTTCGTTGTAGGTCTTGTATTGTTCTTGGAGGAAGATCACTTCGTATCCGAAGACTTTTTATATGTATTGATGCTGATGCAAACGAGTACCAAAAACGTGTGTGCACATTGCAATATTTTGTGTCTCGGCAATTACCTGAACGAATTTACAGCCAAATCGTACCGCGCAAAGGTAAGATAATCTGCAATGACATTTCAAGCTTCTTTTTGGCCTAAATGGAAGCCATGGAAAAGCCATATTTCATTTGAACCTCTTTCATTTAACAGCATAAAGAGAAACGATATTGCTATAGGAAAAAAAAATCCATTATAAAATACTCTGCTCAGTGTTTCTGTTTGTTTAAGACACATGTTATGCTTATTGTAACAAGAAGTTAACATTCTATTTTTCCAGGCTGACTGCTCGACTTTTGACGCCTCTCACAATATGGGCTTAGCCTTTAATCGAACAACCTGGTCGCTCATCAAAAACTGTGCCCAAGCCTTTTGCTCGCACGATGATTATAATTACGACTGGTCTTTACTGCACGTATCTGAAAAATGCCTGAAGAGAAAGTTTACGGTGTTGTCAATCGAAGGTCCGCGAGTCTTCCACATAGGAAGTTGGCAAGTTTATAAGATATGGCTATCAGAAAGGGCCGATTAGTGACGGTTTCTTTTTTGCAGTGGCCTTCACCAAAAAAGCAAGGAATGCGAGGCCAGAAAATTGATTGCCAAAATAAACCAAGTACTTCACTTAGCATTCCAATTCGGCCACCTTTATCCACCGCTGCTAAGAATCACAGAATCAATTCTGAAAGTTAAAAAAAAGAAGCTCAACAATATTCAAATCAACGGAGGGTGGAGTGATCTCCGCGATCATCAGCTATGTCTAAGCATGACGTTACCCCTAAGTTCAGAGGGTATATTAAATTCCAGTTACCAAAGCAATAAAACAGGTGCTAAAATCGTTTGAGGATTAAATGTTTTATATATTATTTTAAGCCGTGAGGGTCCAATCTCTAGCTCATTCTGTTGGAACTATTGTTAGTATCAAAATGCACACAATTCACAGATGTCTAACAAAGACAGTCTAAAGTAAGTGGAAAAGGCATTTAACTGGTTATTAATAGACAATAGTTTCGATCAAATTGAGTACTCAAGGAAAATCAGAAGCTACAGATTACCTTACCTTACATGTGTTTCACCAAGAGTTATTTTTCTTAGGAGCTAATAGAACTGACAGTCAGTGAGACCTGCAGATGGTATTATGTACGCAACCGTATAAATAACAAGTTGTATGCTGCTTTTAATTATTTAACAATTTATTTGTTTTGAATTCTATCTAACCAGTTTCTAAATCACGCACTCATTATACCGCTTCAAGCAGAGAAGGGTGCAACAGTCCTCGGCAATGTCGCAGGTCATGCCTATTCCTTTGCAGGGCTGCTTGTTTTTCAAAATATTTATCTATTTAATAGATATATAGTATTATTATATAAAGTATTTTCTTGATTAGAACTTAATGCGAATTTACCGTACCTAGCCATTACCTACCTGTTCAGAAGACATTGAGGGACTCATTACCAAATCTCCAAGCATCTTTTGCCTTATCTCCGAATACGTTGAGTTTATCATAGAATCTAGCTTTCCAAGAGTCCTGTTCCCTTTCGCAAATGCGACTGGAATTAACCACAGGGCCCAAACCAAAAAGACACCGCTTAAACGCATTTCAATCAGCTACTGACTTCAATACTAAGGGCTTTTTCTTTTATAGTCGGCTCTAGTGGTAATTGCTGGCCGGCAACACATGTTGGTGCACCTGTTTAATAAACTCATTTAAATTAATTGCATAGGCTTAAAAAAATGGTAACTTGAAACTTACGGACTTGTTGTAATTGTATTTACAATTCTCAACAGAGCCCAGCTTAGACGGCAAAAAAATCTACTTCGGCAGCACCGCGTCGACAACCTTACACCCAATGTCCAAAGATCTCTTAGATATCTCGGATAATCCCTGTTAGAAGGCTTACCTTCACGAACTTTATCTTTCATGTGAGCCGCTAGCTAAAAAGAACATTTTGAACATATTATCTGTAGACTAAGCTTATTGGTTGACTTAAACGAAACGAAACGACGCACATATAGTCAGTAAGCTGCTGTATATCAAAATAGTCTTCCAATCCACCAATATGTTTTTCCTAAAATTTCTTCTTAATATACATAAGTTGTCCTCCATTCACAAATCTTACGACTGTTACCTAACCGAAAAGAGTTAAAGAGCCGAAAGAGCCAAACGGCAAAGTCTAAAATAAAAACAAATTTTGGTGAAACTTTTATGCAGCCTCTAACTTAAGCATTTCCCACATTTTAATGTGAGGTAAATGAATAGGGCTTTAACACTATCAGGCATATGCATTATATTTTCACGATATCAGGTTGGTCAGCCTATGTTTGTTTGCTTAAGTTATAGAAATTTCCTCGAAAACTGAAAATAATATATATATATATATGTCCATGTAAGTTACCCACTGTCCACTACCCACTAACTTCATGGTTGGCTCACGGCTTAATGAGAATAAAAATATCTGGCTTGACACGGTTGCAAGTCATGGGAACATTTTATTTTATTTCGATAAATGTACATTAATACGAATCGTATTTTATCTTTCTTTCCAAAATAGTAACATTGAAATTAACGTAGAAAATATTTATTTTCAGCCACAGTAAAAATCAAATATTCGTTTTCTCAAAAAAGAAATGTAGCTCTGTGATACTAAAGTCAACACAAGCAAAAAAAGGGAGGAATTGAAAATAGGTATGTTGGCACAACCGCAATTGATTTTAGATCCCGCCACAAACAACTGCACAATTGGAGCAAAGTGAAGGCAAACAATCTGCAATCTGATAACATCAAATGGAAAACGTTTTAAAGTAAGTCTAAGCGCCAAGGCAAAATAAGGAAAAATAATATTAGATGGAAGTAAAACAGTACACGTTGTTGGACATAGACATGTAAGTCAAATGTGAAATGAAAAAAGGGGTAAAAGCTTCTGTATAACTTGATAATGTGCACTGTTCGGAATCCTTCAATAAAAAATTGAACAAATAATAAAATAATAGAAAAGTTTATCTTCGGAATTCAGACTGCAGCTACAGTAATGTAAAGCACCGAGCAAAATGCTCCTGGTAAATAAGTAAAAACAACGAGAAAAACTAAAATGTTAAAGGTCGTAATTTTGTTGCAGTTAGTATATCCATATTAATACAACCAAAAACCTCTATATTATATTTCCCCCTATTGGAACAATATGTAGAAAGTAAAAATTGAATAAGAATACATTGCATAAAATTTTTCAACTTTGAAAATTTAAAGATCTACTTGATCGGTTTTTAAAAAGGTTAATTGTTGCATACAATTTTTTAAACCCAGAAGAATGAATACCTTCTTATGTTCGTAAGTGAGCACCTGGCCATTATCATTAATCCGGCAGGACACTCAAATGTATGCTACTAGAATACTTTATATAATTTGTACAGAGAACCATCTAAGCATTTTGTAACCAACAAAGCTTACTGCAGCCTGCTTCATAGAACTGGACAGGGGACAAACAAAGCTTTTAGAGCACTTTAATTGATACGAATTGAAACTGAAAGTGCATAAGAGGCCGTCAGGGACAAGCTGGTATTTCTGGCCTGTGGAGTGCCATGTGTGGCGCTCGAGTGCCAAACCCATCAAATCATAATTGAGCTGAAAAGTGTCCATCAATACGCTGAAATAGAACTGGCAGGTAACATAAATCAAAAAGTGCAGTAAATTGAAAATCTAATACAATTTGTTCTGTTTTTAACGACAGAGATGAATTGTTCATAACTTTTACTAAAATTAAACGTCACTTTAAGTAAACATTTGCTTTTCAACGATAAGATGGAATTAGTTTTAAATTTACGAAGCATAAAAAAATAATTATAAGCTGCAAAGCCTTAAGATAAGCCCCAAACTAAGCTCTTTATAAATTCTTTGATTTTTGTTCGGACAAAACACTTGTTGCTCCATGTGGATGTCTGTTTGATCCTATCAAGACTGGGAAGCAAATGGCAAGCAATTGTTTTGTTAATGCCACAGCTTACAGACGCCACAGGACATGTGTACATAACTTAAGCTAAGGATTACAGAACAATGCTACTATTGATAGCTATTCCAGCAGTCGGGCAGATTAATATCATACCCACGAACTTTGGCATTTAACATTTTGCCGCTGTAAAATGTTAAAACACTGATGCTTGGTCAAACCATTAACAAATATGGTAAATTTGTTTGGATAAAAACTATATGCCTTCCTTTTTTATACCTATATAGAGTGCGTTATAGGCTTGTCTCCATGGAAGGCAGTGTCTCCAAGTTCATCTTCGTTTCTATGCAAGCAAGTTCGTTAATTTTAAATCCACCGTATTTTGTTGCAGGCAGTAAATATATTTAAGTATATTTATAAGATAGCTATTACAGCAAACTGATTTGTCTCAAATTAAAAACTTATGTAAACAATTTCACCATGTTCCTAATGAGCTAAATCTAAATATTAAAATCGAACTACTACATCATGTAGCTTTCGAATTTTTTTATTTTTCAAGATAGACACACATACTACTTGCGATTCACATAACATAATTGCGTGCATCCTATAGGAAAAACAGGTCGATACAAACTGAAATCCAAAGTCAACATCCTATGAGTTTCTAAAGTAGCAGACTGAATTTTGGGACGTAGTCAAAAGACACCACGAAAAGAGCACGTGAAGACAAATTGCGTAAAGCATAAAAAGAAAACTGCCGCAAAGGACTGTCTGCCCTGAATTGACGTGCAAAGAAAAAACTGAGGAACGCAAATTGGCATCCTGTCAGTTAATCTGATTCGTTGTTCAGAGAACTCACAATTGAAGTCCACCCTTCATTGCTGACAGTCCCATTCCATTTTCTGAACCCAAATCTAAATTGAAATTTGATTAACGCACACCTCAACACACACGTCGTACACGTCTCTGGGACAAAGTGAAACGTTAATCACATCACCAACTGAGATACAGCGAGCTGAACAGTCAAAATCAGAGGACAGAAGCACTTATAATGGCTACATAATATTCCCCTCCGACAAACCAGTTGGACAGTGTCAATTTGTAATGAGTTTAATGGCCCCCAGAGACTAATGCAATAAACTACATCAAATTGCATTTTAATGGCTGCAAATGTTTTGTAATTGCATTTATGTCACGCGGCTTCCATTTATTGCTCTACATTGAAAATTATAAAATACATATGTAAAATTAATGTTTAACGTTGCATGTTTTAATTCAACATCAGCATAATAACCAGTCCAGTTTTTTATGTAAAGCGATACTTGATATATTAATTTGTATTAAAGCGACTCTGTTTGAAGACTCCTACTCTTGATAAAACGTTATCGTTTAAATAGCACTTCACAGTTGATTAAAATGTGTTAAGTGTCCAAGGATACTTACAATCTTTACAAAACAAATTAGCCTTTGGATAGTGTTTATCGTTCTTTGTGGTATTCGTTTTACTGCAAGCAAATTAACAATAAATTTAAACATCTTTCGATGTCAATGGCTTATTGTAAAAAAAATTAATGCTATTTTTCATTGTTATAAAAAAAAAAAAAAATCCTGAATAATATTAAATCACCAAGCGGCAGTTATAAGTAGTCGAAGAAGAATCCCAACAGTTTTTGTAATAAACTTAAATTAAATCATGCATCTTTTGCTTTGGATCTCTTGAAATTGCTGAAAAATGTTTCAAAGGGAACTAACGTTTTTTACATTCAATTTAATTTTAATTCATGTAAATTACTTTCCAATTTTGTGCACATTTTAAGACCCGAAAATTGATTTCATTGCTTATAAAATGAGAAGCTCCTTAAATATTCGCATCACGCAGCTGCCGCGTTAACAGATTTGACGTGCATTTCTCGCCTGGCAAAAAGAAAAAGCTTAGAGTCATAAAAATATGTAGCTAACAAACTTTAGAATTTGTATATTTTCGTAGAATATAAGTACTTATGAATAAGTAAAGAGCAGCGAGTTGCTACGCAACTTTTTTGGAGCTGCAAAAATGCCACAAAATGACGCCACAGATGTTGCGCTAAGGAAGATGAGGACGTTGATGATTGCGGTGGTGATGATGATGATGAAAATGTCCATTTCCCACTGGCATACAGATGACCTTTTGGGATTTTTCACACAATTGTATGGCCAAAAAATTGCTACACTTTTGGCAGATTAAGAAGTTCATTGCACCCATGAAGATTCTTTATACTCCTGTTCAAGAAATGCTAATTTCATAATTATGTTTTATTATAATTCATGGCGATTTTATTTCATTCATTGTTTTCCCAGACTCGGCAGAAGAGGCGCCGCAAAAAAACAAACAAAAACTTTTGTAGACCTCTTAACTTTTTAATGTTCTTGGGCCAAGCATTTCAAGCAACCATAAAATGAATTTGTCTGACTGTCTTTTGTTCGCATTGAGAAAACAATTCCTTTTCAGACATTTTATCCCTGATTATTCTTTTGCCCGAATTGGCTTGTTGCTTTTGTTGCCTTTGTACCGGATTGGCCCAATTTTGTGGTCGAAACAAAAGACGCGTTAATTAAATAACTCTAGAATAATGCAGTGGCAAGAAAATGTCCGTGCGGTGCGAGCTTTTTTTAAATCATCGATGACTTGACCCATTTCCAAGCAATCAATACAAATCTTAGTATACCTCGATAGCTTTAATAGCTGGAATCAGCAAATTTGTAGGCAGTTCCGAATGCGACATTACATATTTTCCAGTTTGAGTTTTAAAGCAGATACTTTCGAATTAAATGTTTGAAAATATGTATTTAATTTATCTATAAAATCTTTGCCTATCGAACATAAGTATTACAGCATATAATAGAAAAAGCGAAACTTCAGACAGGGAGACAAGTAGCCATCATGGGGTATATTGACTCAGCTTGTCAATCAATTAAAATATAAAATATATTATACCTTTCAAGTTCGGTGAAATAGTATTATATATTAAAGTTTATATTCCAAACATTATATATAAAAATATATAGCTGTAGATGGAAGATTCTGTATCAAATAAGGTGACATTCTTGCGTTACTTTGTTGGAAGTTGAAGAAACAAGTTAAAATCCTTATTTAAAGTTGATGGTAGTGGTTTTTGATACAAAATTTATATAGCAGCTGTAAAATAATGCAAATCTTAACAAGCCAAACAGCCGGTGAGAAGACCTTTTGAATTTTTAACAACACAGTAATGAAAAGAATTCATCAAGATTCAATTACCAGATGCGCTGCCCCATAAAAGAATGCAACATTGTGTTTGCGGCAGTGCACACATTGAATGTCAGCAGGTGACAGCAGTCAAGGGAAGTCGGCTTTACGACTCTGGGGATATCCTTAAGCTGCTCTCTCATTTCTTGACTTTGCATTTAGTCCGCCCTTAGCCGACTCTATACTCCTTGTCTACTCTACTTAGTAATCCTGAACATTGCCTGGTTTCAGCTTTTAGCATGTCTCTCCGGCACGTGACATTGCGGTGGGTCAACTATTTTTATGGCCTTACCGCACTTCTGTGGCACTTAAAAAAACCCACTGCCCGAGAAATTTGCTTATATTTCGTGGCCAGCATAAAGTAAGAGCAAACAATTTTCCAAACACTTAGTAGTCTTCTAATAAAACTTTTACCCTACTCTATTACTAACAATTAAATAAGTAGGGACTTGTGGGTTCCGCTTCATATTGCTAAGATCAAAGTCGATGTCATTTAGGGGCCCTTCTCAAAGAAATAAATTCAGCATTAAAGAGTGTCCGTTTCAGCTTATACTTGCAACAACAACACCGATCTTTTATAAAGATACTTTGCTCACCGCCTCCAGGATCATATTCATAGTCCGAATAGCACACAATAACCTCAAGCTAAACATAATTCAGCCAATGTTGCCATCACTTTTGTTATTGCAATCGGGTTATTCCTCGCTAGGCAGTCTACCTTTTTCTTTTGCTCTATGATAGTGTTGAAATTTCTGTATTTGGCAGCTGCTGCCAGATTTATGTGTTGTTATTGCGACAGCAGCGTGCAAAATGGCAAACTCGACTCCTCGAGTAGTTGCACACTTTACGCCTCGGCGTGTTTCATAGAATAGTTTTTCACAGACTCAATGTGGATGTGGCTTTGCCCCATGGAAATGGCACAGCTGATGAAAATTGTCGGCGACGGAGTCAAATAGTAATTGCAATTCAGTAGTGAGGAATGGTGTGTACTTTAACAGAAAATGATGTCACCGGAAGTGACGTAATCGGAAATTGTCGTTGACCTTAGAGAAACGTTCTAATTGGTAATGAGCGGAAACATTTTTGCGGAACTGAATTAAAAAGTGAAAAAATTCTTTAAATTTTCTAGCAATTAGGGAAAGTATCGGAGATGAAATATAAGCATGAAGTAAAGAACATCTTTAATAATAAACACAAGAGTTGAGTTGTATATAAAATTTTGTATTGTCACCTTAATGTGCTAAATCTAGTTTCCTTAACAACTAGTCCAGAAGTCTGCTTTATGTCGGCGAATAAAATTGCTGTCGGCATCAAAAGTACGTAAAGGGATAACCGAAAAAGTGGGAAATATAAATTAACGTACGGAAACAGTTTGACAGAGCAACCCAATATAAAATTCTTTTACAATGTTGCCAAATGAATAATAATTTTCCTGTTAATCTTGTCGAGAATAAACTGAAAAGAATATGCAGCCGCCATTAAGTAGTCATAAAAGAAAAGGGATCACCTCGGGCGACGGCCTCGTTACAAAGTAGCGAAAAAGGTTATTTCATTTTCTCTTTGCCCACACACACACACACATTCATGCACAGACTTTTCCCGCTTTCCCACACACACACTCGCATACAAATTAAAAATGCATTAAAAACAAATTGCTGACAAGCCTATAAACAGAAGTATTGAGTTAAACTTCATTAAGACCAGAATACACTTCTTACATTTATGTGGATATTTTTTTTAAGCTTAAGTGTTCTTCTCGAGACGTCAATTAAATTGTTTATTAAATAGTTGAGATAGTTATGTCAATGTCTGCCTAAGTTGGCGATTTACCATTGAGTGATGAACCCTACAAAATGTAAAGGTCTAAGCATCATACTTCAGGTAAATTAATTCGCTTGGTAGCTTTTAAATTCATTTAAAAAATTATGAATAAATTATTTTCCATTTAATAATGTATTAGTCCATATCTCAATTTGGAAAAACTAAGCAATGTTATTAAAAATATTAAATTTCTTGCCCTTTGACCGAAGCAGCAGGTAAAATGCTTAAGCTTGTGCCCAAATTATCAGCAAGTCTACAAGAAGAGGTGGAATATATGCTTTCACTTATATTTGTGTTTGTGGGTGAATTTATTAGTATTTAAACCTTCAGTCGAGGAACGAATGGCTTGCTTTCCTCTGGAGTCACGCGCACAAATAAGACGTTTTCCTGTTGAACTCTGTTTGCAGGTTTGTTTGTTGTTTTCATTGTGATTATTTATGACTGCTTTTTATTAAGTCGTTTTCAGCTCTTTGTTTAACTGGTGACACTTGCGGTGCTAATTGAAAACGTGTCTTTAATTTCTTTCACAGCTGGCTAAAGCATTTTAATTTCTGCCTGTGAACCATTATTCAAGGACCGTAAAATTTATAATTCAGATTGTGTCACGTTCTGTCATCCTCATCAATTAGGCTGTGCAACTCCGGTCGATTTGGGTTGGACAAAATGTTATATGCAAAATTCTTTTTTGCTTAAAGTGATTCAAAAATATTTTCGTGCAGAGTAAAGAAATTATAAGAACCTCAGCAAGAGCATAGATTGTTTTTTTACTGAGATATATTTGTGATAATTATCTTAAGTATTGCAAATTGAGGCAAAGGTTAAGATATAATTGGAAATAAATGTAAGTGATATTTAACCAATTTTGTTTTTCTGCAGGCTTAAGTTAAATTTACTTAATTAAATTTTCACATTCAAGTTAAACATATTAAAAAAGTGAAAATATGAAAGTACGCGAAATGCTTTAAGCGCTCTGATAACTAGAGATCCGAGCTTACAAATACAATTTCTCAAATATCTTAAGCTTGCGTCTGTAATCCGCCCTCTGAGTGTGAGCAAGAGACATGTGAAATTTCATAGGATTAAATACATACACATATGCTTATGCAACTCATACAAATTACAGCCAATGCAAGACAGAGCTGAGATATAAATTAAGTCGGCACTTTGGTAAATCATCCCCTTTGATGGCAGCAAAGTGTTTAATAAATTACAGTCGACTACGAAAGCAAATCGGCATTTTTAACTTTGAGCTTATATTTGTCCATGTTCTGGTCCTACATGACATATGAGTAAAACATTTGTCAAAAAAAAAGAATAGCTGAACAAGTTCTTAAGAGAGAAAGTTACTGGAAAAATTGAGAGCAATTTGTTGGCAGAAAAAAGATAAAAAACTTAAGAGAAAGTTTCAACTGGGTTTGGTTAGCAGTTAAAAGTTAAGGCAGTCAAAGTTACATAAGGGAACTACATCAACTCGTATCAGTATCAGTTTTAGTGGTAAACCACAGCTCAGACGGAAAATGTTTAAATTTACAGCGTGCATTCAAATATAAAATTTAATTATAGTCATAAAAAGCATTAAAATTGGCTTTGATATATATTCAATAAATCTAAATGTGAATTAAATTTCTGCAAGCTCATAAAAATATCGACCAAAATATAAAATTTAAGCTATCACTTGAAACTTTTGCCGTTGGCCCCCTCAAAGTTTTCCCGAGACAATTTCCCAAATGCTATGCCCACGGCGAATGGTGTGTGTATGTGTGCGTGTTAAATGCTTTTGACCCAAAGCCAAAGTTAGAAAACTCGACAAGAATTTCAAATTGATTACTATAATTTGCTGTGGGAACTTTTGTGGCCTAGACATTTTCGGCATTTAAATAAAGATTTGCAAACCAAACACGCCCAAAGCGTTAGCAACAAAACAAAATAAAAAGAAAAAATTCCTCGAATTGAGAGCAAGCAAACTTTTCAAAACAGCAGCAAGACCAGACGAAAACTATTTCAAACCTTTGAGAAGCAAAGGTAGCCGTTTGCAAAGAAAAGTGAATGACCCTAGACGGAAGCGAGTCGGGAATCCCTTTGACATGGCCAGACATGCATTGCAATACTCATGACATTTTATTTAGTAAGGATATGTAACTTTTTTAGATATATTCTAATAGTCTACAGCAATTCAAAACTGGATGGAAAAGGTTGATAACATTCTGCTCAGTTTGTGTTAAGAGTGAAAATATTCCATGAATAATGCAAAGTTGTTTTTGAATTTGCTTTGATAATCTGTATACGATGACGGTATGTGCATAAAACAAAGGGAATTTCAACAAATTGGTATTTAAAATTGCATAAGCACACATACGATAAATATATACAAATTCGTCTCATCACTGTTTAATAAATGGTATAGAATATCTAATCTGAATACAGTGTATATGTGTGAATGTGTGTGTTTGTATGTGTTTTGTGTGTGTGCTAACTTTTGTGTGCCTCGTAACGTATAATTAATATGTTTCGGTTAACCATAATTACTTGGCTCGATGATGTGGCTGTAGGTCCTAATAGTGAAGGGTTTTACATTATTAATCCCTAATCAATTTGGAGTAAGAAATTTTCAAGCATGAAGATAGCATTCTATTTTGTATGGATAAGTAAATCAAACTAAAAAGCTCTAGCTTCAAATATACATTTTCTTTTACATCTGGGTGGGAATTGAGGGAGGCTTCCATAAAATGTAATATTCCTTTTCTGTGTTTATAATAATATAGTGTATGCAGCTCTTATAGTTTTTAAGTCCATAATGGATTCTTATCGATTTTTTTACAAGATACCGGCAAAAAGAGAAAACCCGTTTTGCATATGGTACGAAGAATATATATTTTTTTTAATTTAAAGTCTTAAGATCTTTTGGTTTCAGAGTTCTACGCGTTCAGACAGACGGTCATAACTTAATCGACTCAGCTCGTTGTTCTGATTAAGAAGAGTATTCTTTTTAGGGTCGAACGTGCCTGCTTCTGCTTGTTACATACACTTTCTTAAAAGCAGTATACCCTGTTTTACGCAATGGGCAAAGGGTATTCAAGAGAAGCATGAACTGACCTCAACTATTTCTAATCATAATACAAATTATGACATGCACACCGTTCCCACCAGCTTGTCATCTGTTCAAGGTATATAGCTAAAATACAAGGAAATATAAAATTTTTCAACCAGAAGCAAATTAACAAAACACCACAAAAGAATTCAGTTTGGCCATTGACTACTCGCAGCTCTAAAGTTGCGTCTATGCGTGTGAGAATTGAGGTTCACCGATATATAATTTTGGCTTGCAACGCTTGCACATGCTTTTATTTCAATATAAATAATTCATTTAATTATTTATTGGCTTATGTTGAATTTTGCAGTTTCCACGGTCAACGCAACGAGTGGAAATAAATCCGCATTAGCGCAGCGAGCGTGATAAACATTCTGAAGTAATAAAACAAATGATTTCAAATTCTGCGTTTAATTAGTAAATTGTGTTTAGGTTTCACTTTATATTGTTTGTTAGGGGATTTATTATTTTTACATAAAACGTAATTGTTTGTTCAAAAAGTTTTTGATTTCCGGTGGCATTATTTAATTTTATGTAGCATAGTTTTTGGTACCACTTGATAAATAAATGCACTGCAAAGCGAGGGCTCAAATAACGGAAATATAACTTTATCGGGATCCTAAAACTAACCAGAAAATTAGACAAATATATTATAAAAGGGATCATATAAATATAGACAGAAGGTATATGTATGAACTTACCTTTAATTGGAGTGCAGAGATTTACTGATTGGATTGCATGCAGCGACATGTCGATGGAGAAGGACATTTATGGCAAAAGCAGGCAGTCCTCTCGAATAAGCAGCTTCATCAGCACCAGCAAACCGAAAATACTGTTTGAGCCTGCCTGAACAGCATTACCAAAACCGGAAAAGCCATCATCCTTAGGAACGTCATCATTCACCTCATTTGAGGACCAAGCTAACTTGATTGTGGGGCCATCGACGAGCGGAGCGGACCAGTTAACATTGCCAGCACTTCCGGTATTTGTATTCATGTCAACGTCCACAGAGGACTCGCCTTTGGTGTTGCCTGTGGTTAACAAGAACAAAACGGAAGCAACTGAAGCAGCCAATTTTGCTAAATCCAATGATTGGCAGCCTTCTGGATATTTGTTTTGCAGCAGTTTTGTCATCACTGTTTCAATGAAATTAAAAATTTACTATTTAATAAAATTTACTTAAATTTATTTACATTTATAGGCAAGTTCAACTGTTTTTTCTGTTTCATTAACCGCAGAATTGTAAAACAAATGATGGTATGTCCACGTTTATGCGAATGACAGCTGTAAGTAGTTTTTCATGACAATGAGCTGGGATTAATTTTTTCAATTAATGCAAACATGTTGTTAAATGCATACATATTTAACAGCACAATTTATTGTATTTGCTTAAAATTAATTGATGCCCAGAATAACTGCTTGCAGTTTTAAATTGTTTATTTTTCGCTTCATTGAATTGATAATTGCAAATGTAAAGTGATTGCAATCACTTCATTGATTGCGTTGAACCATGAATCAAATCATTCATCACAATTATATTCCGATAAATTTCCCAAACTCAAGATTCAGTCGACAGCACCAATAACCTTTTATACATTACAACACAGCCAAAAACATTATCAACGGACTAATATGTCTCTTCAGTTTTGATGAAAATACATTTGCTTGGACGCATTGTTAACAAAATCATTCCTCCAGTTATCACCTGCAAGCTTATGTATTATCCACTGCAGGTCAAATAAATAGTATTTTATAGGAATATTTACTTACAAATCGACAGCATAAGCTAGCATCTAAATTCCATGAAGAATATGAATATAACTAAATATCATAAAACATTGCATCCCATTTATAAAACAATTTCATTATTGCCTGAATAAATGTCGCACTTAGCGAAGGCGAATGCTCTAGCACTTAGGTTGGAGCATTTATAGAGCTTAAGTTGAATTTTCATTAGAGCTATCCAATTAATTTCCACTTGTTAGGCATGTCGAAGTCGTACTACGCACAAGTGGACTTGACTAAAATAACTTGTCTGCCGTTCTAACCAAGAATTCTCTAAGGATACAAATGCGACAAAGTCAATAGGCCAAGTAATTTTGTACAAACACAAGCTGAATACAATTAAACAGGCATGCAGATTGAATAAGGCATTTACATTTAACTAATTTGTAGATATATGTACTTTGCATATGTGTTATTCCGAATGTGCTCATTAGGCAAACACCTGGCTCTATGGCAGCTGAGCCCATCATTAGAAGCCGTCCAAACACACGAACCACCTATTAATTTAGAATACGAGAATGGGCAGAAGGAACTGTGGCAAAGGCAGGCAGAACATTTGTTAATTGGCATTCTATTGCATAATATTCATAAATACTTTACGTAACTTGCATTTACTTTATTTCATAACAACTCTTGAAACTTTGGAAACTACACGACTCCAAAATCCAACTGCGAACGAGAAAGGTTTGAATGAAGGATTCAAAACGCATAAAGATGTGCTCTGACATAGCGAAAAGCTTTCACGTTGTCAGCTCGTAAATGGATTTTTACGGCTTCCGGTAGAAATCAACAGCATTTCCTCTGGAAAGTGCACTAAATGTTGTCCGTTAACAGTCACTTGACACGCATGCCGACAGGCGAGACAGTCGAGTTAAATAGATAAAGCGAGTGAATTTGAATTCCTGGCTACCACGGCCCGAACCTGTCATGAGCTAACTGACAGTAGCGTATAATTGGGTATCCATTTCTAGGCAAATTCATGTTGTTTTCCGCTCTCCACAGCCCCGATCTGCCAAAGATAGTGATGCCAACCCTGCGCTAGTTATCTATTACCTGTCCGATTTGCCACTCTCTAGTATACTTTGGCCTTGAGGCTAGAAATGTAGCTCATTGGAAAAAATATTATTGAAAGCTGCCAACAGTTAGAGTTTGCTAGATCAATTATATAAGAGTGACAGTAACACGTAAGAAAAAAATTAAAATTAAGTTAATTGAAATAATTTAAGATCATCTTACATTTCCAAAACCTGCTAGAAATAAAATTCGTTTACACAAATATTTTTTCAGACTTTAATAGAAGAATTTTTATGCCAGTCATAGAATATATGCGCTTGTACTCTGACAATGCTAGAAAAGATTGGAATGATAAAAGGTTCTCTTCAACAAGGCTAATAAAATCTACTCTTGAGAAATCTAGTTACAAACCTCCTTTTTTAATGCTTATGTTTACTGCATACGCTTATAAAATTAACAACGCTTTTTCACATATATTTTGTTTTAATACGTATCTCTGCATTAAAATACGTCGAATTTCTACTTTAAAGACGGGAAAGAAATACTTAAAATTTGTAGGAGAGAATCATACACTTAGTCGCGACTTAATGCCAATTGTACCAATGGCAGCACCTTAATAGACGATAAGTCGGCCAAAATGGCTTCGATGCTGTCAAGTGAAGCCACCTGCATTATGCTTTCCTTTCGAAAACTCAATATAATGATGGCAAAAAGTGGCAATATCTCCAGGCTATCAAAACCGAGTATCTGCAAAGCGACAAAGAAGTTAACAATTAATTTCAAGACGAGCAGCTATTGCAATGAAGCGCTTACCAAGTCCCACAATACTAGCAATTGATCTGGTGGCAAATGTCCAGAGAACCCACGCATAAGCCATTTAAAAACTACACGTAGACTATAAACAAAGAATACTTTTCAAATTTGAATTTACAAAATCGTTTATGGCACTCACGGTTGTATCTGTAATTCACGAAAGTGCGACCACAGCTGTGGCTCGTATGTCTGTAACAACTTCTCGAATAGCAGGCACAGGCTAACAATGCCCTGCGGATGCGTATTGATCGTGGTCAATCGGTGGCAATAGCGTATGTAAAAGGCCCGAAATGTATAATAAAGGCACACCGGCGAATCATACAGATAGCAAAATGGTGCCGCAAACATGCAGATGCCGTGAAAAGGCACCACGCCCGAGGGCGGACCCTCATAGGTCTTGCCCTTCACCGGAAACGATTCATACTCCACACAGTTGGCAATTTCCGTGTCCCGCGAGAAGCATAACAGCACCTGGTAGAGCACATCTTCGAATACAAAATACTGGTCATCATTTGAAGCCGTCAGCTGTATATCCTTAAAGACAAGCTTATCAACAATATGATCGGTGGTCCATACGCTGTTACGCAGCTTCTGCCAATTCTCAATGTCCTGTTTAACCAAAAAAAAATTAATTGTTAGGGCAAGATAAGACGACTGATATTATAATTATATTTTTTTTTTATAAAATATGCATGCAATTTAAGGATCCTATCAAATCTGGTCTAGAGATATGTTTTCTTGCTGAAAATGATTTATACCAAGAATTATTTTAATTTGGAACTCACATAATCGTGCAGCTTGCTGCCCAGCACAGATGCCCAGAGGGCCCCACGGTAGGGTGCCGGAGTGCAGCCCTTCTTTAAGTACTGCTGGCACATTGGGGCGTGTCTGCTGTCCAGGATACGCTGGCACTGCACCGCCAAATCAGGCACACTGTAGGGATCGCCGCGCAGCAGATCCGCATAATGTGTTCGCAGTTCAAAGAGATTTTTAACGGGCAGTGCAATATGCGAAAACTCCCATTGCGGTATTTGGCTGTAAAATAAAGACGCATTATGCTTAAGAAAAGGAAAACCAGCTCAAAGTACATACTCGGAATTTTCATTGGGCCTAGTGGGTCCCTTAAGCGATAGTAAGACTTCCAACAAATCCTTGGGCGCATATACCGGACGATAATTAGCTAGATCTGCACGATTAATTCATATAATTAAATGATGCACAAAAGCAGTCTATACACATAGACTTACCCATATTGTAATTGCTCAACTCATTCCACTTGGCGACAAAATCCTCGCGATCGGTGCTAATGCGCGGCTGACCGTGCAGCGGCACCTTCAGCTCGCCACACATTGCATTTAGGCTCTTTCGCACACGCCGATCCCATAGCACGCCGGCGCGCTTCAGATAGCCCAGTGGATCGCTCTGTGCGGATTTCTATGTGGAGAGTAAGTAAACTTCTTGTGCGCTTTGGCATGTCGCTCTACTGGCGTATCATAGCTTACCGTTGTTTGTCGGACATCTCCTACCTCGAGTTTTTTCAAGCGACTGCGTACCAGATTGTAAATCATATTGCGAATTTCAGTCTCCAGACCCGCCGCCTTGATGGCATCCTCCAGCGTGTTGCGCATATCATTTTTGTCGACGCCGGGACTGGCAACGAGACGCTGCAATTCCTTATAGATGGGCTCATAGCATTTGGTATTCTTAATGGCTGTTATAACTTTTGCGGTCGTGTGATGAATGCTACTATCCTGTAGCTCCTCCATGCCTGCTTACTTCACAGGTTTGTTCTCTTAGCCTCTCTGCGTGGTTGTGCTGTTGCTGCTGCTCCTATAAAGCCGAAAACATTGGCGCGTTGAACAGTCGCTTGATTTGTATCGATCAAACTTGTGTCGCCTGCTTTGATTTCCATTTATGTATGGGGCACACTACACACGTACACGGCTTCGGGCCAGTTTATGAAGTCAAAACTTTTGAGCGCTTCTTAGTTACGGAATGCAACCACTTGTTTGGCAGCTTTATCGACGCAACGGACCCACCACTCGAGGCGCAGGCATTAGACAAGGCAATCGCGACGTTCATTGCAGAATAAATTCCAAACTATAATTAAAGCTTTCAAGTCCAACGAAATTTACACGTGACAGCTTTGTTATCGTTAGTGCTCTACACAGAGGCATATTTAGTGTTTGTGTGCATATGCACGCTGGATTGCTGAAATGATTCGATCCGGCTGACTCTAAAATACTGAACTCCAAGGGTACACGAACCTTAGCCATTAACAAGAAACACACAACGGTTTAAAAGTTTCAATTTTAAAATTGTCATATACTGGCCTTTAAAAAGAGGGTGTACCGTTTATGCAATGTTACAAGATACAGGCTACGACTAGAGAACCAGTTGAAATTATATTAGAGATAATTTAATAATAGAAAATAGCAGATCTTATCCCAAGTAAACGGATAATATAAAAACTTGTCTATTCTCAACCGTATTGGTCTGGACTGCAGCTTACCTTGTTCTCGTGCACGTTTCTATGAGTTTCAAAAAATGTGTTTCGTTATCGGTTTGAGTCGATGCCTCTAACACCTGACGTGTACTTTTACAGCCCCTTTGCTTTTACCTTAATTTAGCCTATAATATTACCATGACATTTGCCATTAGTTTTGCCAATATTAGTTTTGCGGTTGTTATATTATGTTCCAGCTAATTAGAACGAAATTTTAAAGCCTGAGGACGAAACCAGGCTTGGCGAAATATCACCTAAGCCAACTGAGTTGTAATAATATTGTATGTTATATTTGATTCAATGCAATAAACATTTATATGATAAATTGAAGAAAAAATAAAAAATAATATTGTTAGTTTCGATTTTTTTCATTTGAAAATATCAATATCAATCGCATTGTTGTTCTACTTAATGCTTAGCATGATGTCCTTGAGCGAGAAACCCTGATTATCGAGCTTCTTATTCGTAGCATTGCTCGCAAACGATTTTGCAGTCAAACTGCGATCAAGGTTCGCAAACTCCTTGCGCTCTTTAAGGTCGGTATCTGACAACATTTTAGCAACATAGTCACCCACATGTATGCCTAGTCCGAAACCAATAATAAGCACTTCATTCGATAGCACCAGCTTATTACGCAATAGAACTCCCAAGTACTCTGCAATGCATACACTCGCAAAATCTGCATTATGCACCGATTCGGAAAAACAGGGGTAGAAGACAAGTTTCGAGTAGTCAACGGAGATGATGTTGTTAGTGCTAATGGCCAGCAACCGCGCTCGGACGTCAGGAATGGGTGCAGTATTCAAATTACTCGCGAAGCTATGTAGCAGCACCGTAAGCATCCTTTTTGTATTGGCAGGAAAATCCTGCGAATTAGCTGGATTTAATTGACGTCCACCTAGGGTTTCATTGCTATTAAAATTGGAAAATTAAATACGTTGCTTAATAGAAAAACAACTTATTGCTTACTTATGGAGCACGAATGAAATATTCGAATTTGGACACACATTGTGTTGCACCCGAAAGCAAGGAGGATATATCTTGCATTTCGGGCTGATCAGCGTTGAATTGGCGCTGGCTTCGAGAAGAAAATAAAAACTAAAAAAACCTTGGAGGGGAAAAAAAAGATTAGAAATTAGTTATCTGTTTTAAAATTCATTTATGCTTTAAGTACCAAGAAGAAGCCAGAGCTTGATCATGCTGCTGACTTCTCTGCCTAAGGGACTGCAACTGAAAATCGTACCTTCAATTCGGGAGACTTTAAATTAAAATGTCGTTATATATGCGTGACTCCATCTATTAGTCAAGCTGTTTAAATAATATTTAAAATATTTCCTGGTTTTATTTTCCAAATATAATACACTGTGCTAAACATAGCTAAGTTATCGCAAAGGTATACAAAATACATTAATATTAAAGTTATTATTGATTTCCGAATGGGAAGAGTTTGAACCTTTATTGTGACGATGGTTCGAAATTCTCTAAGAGTGGTTTATAAGGATCCTATTGTTTATGATTATAAGCCCGTATTCAGTAAAAAAAATATGAACAATAATAAAATGTTTTCTAAAACCAATCAGGAAGAGCAAAACGGTTATCCAAATAGCACCATACCAAGCCACTTTTTAGTTGTAAGGAATAAAATTAATAATAATATATCTCATTGATCGTTTCGAAACTCTAATATATTTAAATCACACACTCTTTGGAACTGTTAAAGCATAGCAAGCTGCAACAATCTTCGGCACGACGGCAACTCATGCCAACTTTTAAACAAAAATATTTCGTCCTTTCATAACGCTCGACCTGCAAGTAGATAATAAGCTTGTCGATAGACTAATAAGTCAATTTTATATACACAATACTTCTGTCCAATTTTTCAAGGGTTTTATCACTAAACCTTTCAATATTTTATATCTCCATGAGTAACTTTCCCATCCTGTCGTCGACAGTTGATTACTTTTCATATTTGCAGAGATCGCCAAATACAGTACTAGTACTATTATGAAAATGCTCTCCGACCGTTTCATTTTGAATTTAATTTTCTACGGACTACAAGGCTACGTATATTTTTCGTTGCTTTTATAAGCAGCTCTGCAGATTCTTTAATTTTGTGCCAGAAAACACATGTGAATTTAGTTTGGATTAATTGTTATTAGTGCTATAAAATTGGACAATGGATTTTATTTAATTTTGTTGTGAGTCTGTAACAAGTACGTACAAACTTAACAGATTTAAGAGATCTTTTTTTATGTAGTCACAATATGTTTTAATATGGAAAGTATTAAACGTACAACAGTATGTTCGAGATAGGCTTAACTCGAAGAGTCTGATTATCAGGTTCAATAAAATATATAAACATTTTTACTTTTATTTTATTTTGTAAATATTACTTTCATATTTTTGCTTACAATTAAAAATAAAATATAATTGCACGATACATGCTGCCGTAATTTTAAAACAATTGTGCTTAAAACAGTTATTTTCTTATTCAAAAACAGCTTTTATTTAAGCAGTTTTAGCTAAACAGACCTTGCGAACTAGCTATACAATGAATAATTATTGCCCCAAACAGATGGTGCACATCACATTAGCTTCGGTATATAAAAGCTTGTAAAAGTTATTAATACAATTAGTATAAGACTTGACTTTAATATATGAAAAATGCAATCTATCAAAATTGTTGCTGTAGTCAGCTTGTTGCTGGTGCTTCTTAGAGTTGGGAATAGCGCTAATTTTATCGGAAAAACCGGAAGGGAAAGATACCTTTCGAAGGCTTCTATTGCAAGCAGTAAACCATTTTTTATGGATCGTTCTAGGAATCTGACAAATGTACAGACTGAATAATATTGCAAATAATTTTCATTATATGATTATCATTTTATTACCCACAGACAGATCGTATAAATCTGATGGATAGATGCAAAGGCATTGGCGGCAAATGTCACCTTGCCGAGGAGTGTTGCAGTCTTCAATGCGTGATGCCTTATGGAGAATGTGTAAATTATTAAACTCAATAAGGAAATAAAAAACAAAATAGAATCTGATCGCGGTATTTAGTTTTCATTCATTTAATCTCTGTTCTCAAAGAGAACGAGAATGAAGGGCACGCCGAAGATCTAATGGCCCTGCAGACGCAACCTTTTCATAATGCTCATAGTCCTCGTATCTAAGAAGCACAGGGAAAATAATAGGAATAATAGCCCACAATGAATGACAAATTAATTTTCGACCGAGCGTGCCTATGGCAGCTATATGATACCGTGGTCGGTTCTTAATAGGACATGCATCCATATATGAGGAGCATAGTAAAACTAATTAAATGCCGAGTTTGGTAAAGATATCTAAATAAACAACATGTTTTTCATACAATAACCTACTGTTCGACCGATCGTTCCAATTGCAGCTATACGATATAATATTCCGATCCGACATATGTGCTGGGAAACAGATAGACGGACAGACGGATCAAGAATACATACACTTTATGAGGTCGGAGATGGCTCCTTCTATGCGTTACATATATCTCGATAAAATTATAATACCCTCTGCAAGGGTATAAAAGGAGTACATACTATATGTATATTGATTTTGATTAATATGAATCGGATGAGATTTGACCGAGTTATAGCGGTGAGAAATTTTGAGCTATGTCTTTATAGGATAATAGCGGGTATACCCCCTCCTTGACCATTAAATTAGATTCTATCAAAATGAGTTGATATGCGGCTGATCTGATAGTTAACAAAAAAAGTTGAGTACAAAAGTTTTTTGCGATATCTCCCTCATGCAGGTGAAAAAGTACTGGAGAAAGATCTTAGATACGTATGTTTATTGGAATTATCCATATTGCACTTGATTTAATAAACATTATTTAGCTATGAAACCAAATTTCGGGCATATTACACTTTATATTTTACATAACTTTAGTTTAATTATTTATTTAATATCTTTATGCGCTCTTTTTAATCAACTCCAAAAGTGCACACACCTATTGTAAGTCTTCACACATTGCATTGTGCAGCACTCCTCGGCGTGGAAACATTTTTCGTGAACCTCTCTGCAGTTGTCTACCATTTGCTCGATTTGAAACTGTGATTGAAACGTAGACATAAGATTATCAATTTTTGTACATATATCTCTAATATTGTTATATTCTGCCAATACCGCTGTTAAATTCCTTGAGGGACCCATTATTAAGTGTTGTAACACTTTATACTTATTCGTCGCAGTCAAATGGTATTTTTTCCATTCTGTCAAGCCCATCGGAACAGTACCTGCTCCAATAAACATTAGCCAAAAGAAAATGCATAGGAACGGCTGCATTTTATTTATAGCTTATTTTTCAGATTGATTGCAGTAGTTCTTTTAAAAATGCTTTTATAGGCAGTTCCAACAGAATAAACATCATTTAGGACAAGGTCTGCGTTTAAAGTTGGTGCAAGAAACCACATGTGAGTGTTGTTTTATTCGATTATGGTTCGAGTACATATAATCAGCTTGTAAAACAATAATGAAATCAATGAAATCAAATCACATTCTTTCATTCCATTGCATTTGCCTCCAATCTCATTTGCCTCATGTCATAGTAAACACAGTACCTTCGCTTAATGCATTGCAAGCTGCAACAGTCCTCGGCCAATCGACATCTTTTGCCAAGGGGCTTGCAATTATCCATATATTGCGTCCGTTCCGCCTGTAAGTGCATATTAATTATAACGTTTTATAATTAAGAACGTAATACCTGTGTCATGGTTTTGGAGGGCTTAACAAGCATAAGTTCCACTAGCTTATACCTAGGCATTTTTGCCTTTGTCGTTCTTAATTTGTTGACAAAATTCCTTTTTTCAGTTTTAACGAGCAACAACAGCCACAGGCCTAGTACCAGGCACAAAATTCTTGAGGACTGTTGCATTTTCAATTTAGGGAACGTCAATCTCTTCTGGCAGCACTGGTGAATTTGTAGGCTTTTATATAAAGATCTAAGATGTTGACGGTACTTAAAGATCTCTAAGAAAACATTTGTGGTTACAATTGAATTATACAAATACTTGAAAACTAAATGAGTTGAATGAAATGAGTTGTTATCATGAGTGACTGGCAATTTTCCATTAATACTTACAGTTAGTTAGTTTATTGCGCATAGTTTGTCTTTAAGGCATAGCCTCTGTTGTTCTGTGCCAATTCGTCATTAAAGCTAACAGTCTTGTAATTATACCTTATAACAAAGGCTTTTGCTTGGTAGAGATCACAGGATACTGCGCAATTCTAGCGTTGAATGAAACAAATTAAACCAAAAAATAAAAAAAATTAATAAAATTCAAACTAGCTAAAGATCACAAAATTATTAAATAAAAAAAAAAAAAGCAGATGTATACTTTCCCCAAATAATAGCCAGCAACAAAGAGTCGTACAATGTTAGCTATAATAAAATATAATTTAATTGCCCATATGTTTTGTTCAGTGGACTAAATGCAGAGATCACGAACAGCCTATAAAATCACTGAGAGACTACCTGGGCTGTCAGTAGAACATTGACATCTGGCATAATAATGCATGCCTTTTTAAGCATTTACTTGTTCATATTAGTCCTGTGGTTTGAGTTGTTTGGAATTGGGAAATGTTTTGAAAGCGCTATGTACCAAAGATATTCATATTTTTCGCCAGCTAAACAGGTTAAGTTGAAAAGTTTTGCAATGCACCCGTTCAAAAACTTGACAGAGGTAAATCGAATTGGTTAATATTTGTAAAGTACTTATATTTTTTTCGATTTCAGTCCGAGCGCAGAACAAACCTTTCCAATTGCAAAGGCACCGGCATGGCTTGTGATCGTGCCGAGGACTGTTGCACGATGATTTGCTTGAAAAGTAGCAAAAAGTGTGCGTACGTTAAATCAATTCTACAAAAACCCTTTAAACGTATAAGTCCGTTTAAGCCCATAACACCAAATACTAAATCCACTATGGATTGGATGCATTTAGAAAAATATTTGTTTACTCCCGAAACTTAGTGAAATAGTTTATGTAGAGTTCAACTTAATAACCAAACTGAAGTAAAATAAATTTATATGGAAAATGAAATCTGAATAAGCACAAGAATTATTTTAGGCACTCCGAAAATAGCTTATTTACGCATGATTTCCTTTTGCTTTGAGTGGGAAATAGTTGTTATTATATGGCCACAGTTTCCTTCCGGACAATCGAACAGTAAATTGAATCAGAATCCACTAAGAGTACACATAAATTTACAGCAACACTTTGTAATTTGTGAATTATTTATTTGTTTGTGGTTGTTGTCAGCTGGTGGATTTATGTGCTGCACTTGTTACTCATACGCCATGTTGTACATGCGCACAGTGGAAGACAAATCGAATGCACTTGTTCTGTCATTTTTTCTGTTATTTTATTTTCTTTTTTTGCTACACAAAGAAAGACCAGTGCAATAATTTATTGAGCACTTTGTTATGCTCAAGACGGAGCTCCAGGAATGGCAGAATTAACCTTACTTAAGGTCAACAGACAAACATTAAATTGAATGAGTACAGTTTTTACAGTTTATCTTCGAGAATCTAATTTATTTTACTTATGAAGCGAGGATTAAAAAAAAAATATATCTTTCTAATAGGAGTAAATGAAATATGGAATATTATTTTGTGACTAGCTTGCCGGAAGCCTGACATATTCTGGCATACACTTGATATTATTAGTTGAATTTCTAAGTCAGTTTCTATGATATTCTAACGTTCGTATAGATTAACATATAAATGGAAGATTTGTCCTATTCGAACTCTCTATGGAACACTCTTAATGTTAGTTGATTATCTAAAAAAATGGTACTTTTCATGACGCTGCCAAGTCCTTACAGAAGAACTGGCTTATCAATCAACTAACGTAATTCATAAATTTACTCATTCTAAACAGGTAGTTTCTTCTTTCTTGATCATTCAACTTTACATTTCTTATCAGCATTGTGATAGAAAATATTTAAAGGTGTCGCATGTTGTTGCTCGGCTCGAGCCGTAACGTGTTCTACACAACATGCTAGAAACAATTGCTGACAGAGAACAGTTTATCTTATGTTTCGTTAACAGGTGAAAATTTCCCCTTATTTTGCTATAAAGCTTTTCTGTTAATTCAAACTGAAGCGCTTCTATAATAACATGAGGAACAACGGCAAATGTTAACTGTTTAGTTCAATGTGAATTTTTAGTATATGCAGCCCAAACGCGGACGACTGCATTTATTTATATTTAATTATATATTTATTATTGGTTGACAAAACGAGTGTCAACCTAAGCATTAAATACATAGAAATATAACAATTTTAAAGTTAAAACGCTTTCAGAGTACACAAATCTTTGATTTTCAGCTCTATTAAAGCTAGAAACTGATTATATAGTTTGAATTATATATATATCATTGTGTATATCCGAAACAAAATTTTTTAATGATGGTTTTTTAAAAAGTTTTGCAATTGAGATACTTGGAGATACTGGAGCACAACATTTTTGCAACTTCAGCCCCAAACCTTTGAGGTATCAGTTTTAGAGCGATCAACTCAATAAATCTAGACGAGAAAAAGCTAACTGGTAACTGGACTGGGCCGGTAGACTAGTCTACCAAGGAACTTGTCTAGAATCTATAGAAATATGTGAGTAAGTCTTGAATGCGACTATCTCTTGCCCTGAGTGACATACAGGGAACTGACTGCAACGCGGCACAGGATCAGGCTGATGTGCATTTGCATAAATTACACACAGTCACAAAGTTACGGTGATACGTAATTAAAGCCATGACAAGCAGCTTCATTAACAATTCTGTCTCTTTCCACAGTAACAACAATTTGTTACTCTTCTCCGTTTTTTTTATCCGGGTGCACCCAGGCCAGAAGCAGAGAATCCAAGGAAGTCCTGCAATTTGAACACATGCCCGGACTGGTCGGCACGTTTGAGTCGTCCCTTTTGCCTGCGATGAGTTACTGCAGGTAAGCTTATAGCCGCGTCTGTATCCTGTTTGCTGGCCAGCCATGCGCGATTCCAAGTTAAGCATACCGCAAGAGTCCTTAGACTTCGTGGATTGAACGCAACTCGCCAAGTATGTGAAATATGCAGAGCAATGTGTCCACTACTATCACAACTCTATTCTTCTTCTTTGTCTAGTCGAACCGTGAAGAAGATTACATATATAATTTTAGCAGTTTGTAAATTTCACATATGGTTAAACGAAAAAAAGTCACAGTATTCACTCATGTTTCACGCCTGCGGGTGAAATCTTAAATCTATATATATATTTGTATAATATTTTCACCCTCGCAAGAGGCATTTTCTACAATTCGTTCTTATTTCTTATTTTCTCAGTCTAGTTTTGTTTATTTTTCTTGTAATTTTCCCTTCAATTGTGAGTTTTGAAGACTTTAAGCAAAATTCCCTACTTTATATACATTTTGTGTGAAAATTATGCCCATTTCTTTGCTTTGCACGTAGCTTGCCTATAAAACTTCAGTCAATTTAATTTTATTTAATTTACATATTTCTATGGGAGACACATACTGCAAGATTTAAGTTTGTCCTCACATTGTTGTTTGGCTCAAAAGGATGTTGCCAGCTAAGTGTGGAGGGCTAAGAAACTGTCTATTCGCATGAATGAATTGTTTGTGCATTTTTGGTTTTGTTGAATTGAATACCCTACACTACATGGGTATATCATGTATTACAGAGATAGTCACATTATATCTACGAAGTTATTTGATATTTGTCTTCAGACTTGTGGTAATTAACTATTAGCTTTAAGGAGAGGGTATAAATAGGACATGATAGTATGCAAATAAAGGAATCTCTGCTGCTTTAAAGCCTTTGCCTTTTATTTTATTCATTACAATTGGCTTTTATTTGGTTTGCCTTTCCACTAAACCTAACAATTGTTGTATAAATTTTTAGGGAAGTTTGTAGAATTTTATTCAACAACACGGCATGTTTTAAACATTTATGAAATTTTATGCCATATTTTGAGCATTTTGCGATGGCAATAATACAAATGGCCAACAGCCAGAAGCTACAGCCATACGACTTCAAGTAAATGTTCATTTTATGTTTAAAGTTTAAAATTAATTTAAAAGCGAAACAAGAATAATCTGCTTAAACAGTGTAATATAAATGCATGCATAAATTATGGCTTTTAGAATAGACATTTGTTTTAATTAATTTAAAATCGCATAAGTTTTACCTTTCCTTAAGCTTTTCAACACCTCGCAGTTTATGTAATTGATTGTATTTTTCTTTTACAACGTCTTAATTGGAATCTTATCTCAGCAAAAGTCAAATGTCGCATCATGAAAATTCGTGGCAAGACTTTTGCGCAAATTACAGACATAAAAGTCGCAGCCCAAAGATAACCATAAGCTTTAACAACGCCCCGGAACAACGAAACAGGGCGCAAATAACACGAATAAAACCAAAATAAAGATTATTTTCGATACAGACCCATATGGGCATATGCTCCCCATTGATTACAGTGAAGCAAATTGCAAGTGACATGTCAACAATTGGATTGCATGATAGAACATGAACATTTATGGCAGAAGCAGGCAATTGTCTGAGATGAGCAGCTTCATCAGTCGCATGACTGATAAACAGGCTAAGGCAGCATTACGTATTAACGGAATAGTCATTATTATCAGGAACAACATTATCAACAACATCCATTCAACGAGGAGCAGCAGCAGCAGCAGCAGCCAGTCTCATTCACAAACAAAGTCGACTTGGCTGAGCAGCTCTCACCGATTGCCAATGGGCATCCAGTTGGCATTACAAGCACTTCCGGCATGAAAGCAATGGACGAGCCATCTCTTGTGTTGCCAGTGGTTATCAACGGCAAAGTAGAAGCAACTACATCAACAACTATGCCAACTAGTTCGGTCACAGCCAGCCACTGGGTTGTTATTCCAATGTTTGCG